GCTTGTTATTGTTTTTCTGTAATTTATTTTAATGAAACACACAATAGAGCTAATGGCACTATATTACCATTTTGTATCTGCACTTAAATCACAACTAAAAATATAAACGGCTATCACGTCACACTGTTTCCAATATTTTAATTATTATTTCAAAATGATTTCTCCCTTGAACCACATAAATATTTCTACCTTCTAAATATATCCTCTGTGTTTTACATCACTCTATGCTCGAGTTATATGAACCACTACATATCTCACAAATAATTCACAATCACGTCACACTTTCTTCAATGTTGTTGATCAACTATGTTATCAGTGTGGTGCGTTCGAGTTATTATAACCAGACGCACGAACACCGGCTTACTGGAAAGTAGCCAATTTGCAACAAATAAGCTCGTAAACGTTGACGCGGCAATCAGATTATAGAGAAAAATGTCGCTTAGGCGAGTATACCATGCTGGCAGAAATTGTTATCAAAGATTAGATAAGTCCCTGTACACAATCAATATCGCGGTGATGCGGTTCGCTTCGCTTTCACAGTGTGTATAGCCGACAGTGAAAAGCCGGCCGTGATTTCAACGAAGAACAAACTTAAATAAACACGTCTGATATTGTCAAGGTCTCTGTGGGAGAAACCTTTGCCAATTTTTTTTTTTTTTTTTCCCCTCCACGAAATTGGACGCATGATTTTGAAAAACTGCAGCAGTTTAATACCGCTATCGTGTATCGTGTCACGCGAATATTGCCACGTAGTATTTAATAATACCGAAATTTTCGCGTATATTAAATAGTTTCATAGTTCTCAATAATGTCGTATAAAATGTTGTAATTTTGTAAAAAGAAATTGTACAAGTAGTGAACGTGGATTTATTTTAAAGCCTGGAGCCACTACTTTCCAAACGCATCATTTTATTTTAGAATATTTTTACACTACGTAAGAGATGGCGAAGACACTTTTCTTCTCGAAAATTCTATGAATCATCGATAGTACGTAGAAACGTTGAAAAATCTTTTTCGCTACTGAAACTACAATTGATTCGAAGATTGAAGATCCCTCAGAACTTGCTGTACAATTGTCTTTCTTTTCCACCAATCAATCAAACTTTTAAATGAGTGTAAAATCTAACGACGAAAATATATAGAATCTAATATTCAAAGTTTAACAAAATAAAAGCATTTCTTTCTCGACTTTGTAATTGAACATTTGTCGACGAAAAGCAACCATTATTTCCTATTGGAAACCATCGTTTCGTTTTCGACACTTGTTATCGTTCGTTACGATGTGATATTAACAACTCGTTGAAACTTTCAACTCGCAGTTAGTCAAGTCGCGAAACGCCCATTACAACTTCTCCGTAACATAAAGTACTGTTGTTCCTTGAAACTGCGGGTGACAAGCTTGGCAATTCATCGATCATACACTGTATGTATCGAGCGCAAATCCACGGTTAAACGCATGCTGATCAACTAACGGAATGATAAGACACGATTTCACGACCGTTATTGTGTACTCGATTGCCCTCTTTCCATATAAATCCACCTCGCGCTAATGTCTACGTTGGTTAATATCCGTGTTAATGCATTTCGTAATCTGATTGAAGTGACCATTGTTTACGAGGGGAATTTTCCTCGCGTAACTGTGCCTAGGATATTACAGCGTGTTGAATATTTCCGGGAAAGGAGAGAAATTAAATATTCTTCGTTTCCAAAGGTTTTTCAATTTCGCAGATCTTCGTACTTTTCTGTATATTTTCGAAAACTGCAAATTGGGAAATATCAGGGCAAAGTCATTTTACACTTTCTATAAATTTCTTAATAGCCAAGTATTTAAGTATTTGGAGTGGTATTAAAATTTTCCAAGTGCTCCAAATAAAGTATGTATTAATTATAACGTGTGTGCGTAATTAACTTTTTAGTAAAATCCTATTTTTATCATAGATATAGATTTATAAATCTTTAATCTTATCGAATCTTGAAGGCTTATGCCATTTCTGAGCATTTTAGAGACATCCAGAATTTTAATAATTACAAAGTTAGGTTACACAACACGAAACATGCAATTCATAATTAATCAAACAGTTCGTTAAAACACTTTATTAAAAATTGACGAAACATGCAACGAAACATTTTTGTTTTGTTTCTGTAACTTTTAAGAAACATTTACTTTGAAAAATTATTTTCAACGAAAAGCGTTGATAAATTAGAAATAATTAATTCGAACGCACAACAAAAGTTGTTCCAAGGATTCTATCAGATGATCTCACTCTTCTATCAAATTCCTTTTTCTCCTTCTTCCCTATTGCTTGTTGTTACATAATAAAATTTAATTAAAAATATTTCGATAAATATTTGTGAAAAAGATTTATGAATCAAGATAAATTACAGACAAGTACTGTCACATTGAAAAACCTACTCCAACATAATCATTTAAAGATATTTCTTCTGAAAGAAGATCAATTGTCATTACATACGTATAAAATACGTATAAAACGTACATAAATAGTCATTGTCGTAGAT